TTAACTGTTGGATGTCCAAAGGTTTTACTAATGCAAATGGCAGAGAAACTCTTATGAAATATATATATATATATATATATATATATATATATATAAATGAATTAAAGGAAACAAAATGCAAACCAATATTTTCAATACAGTCGAATGCGCCTATCATGCACATAGTTTGTCTAAAGAAATATCATTTAAGGTTTTGGACAAGATAGGAGACAGTGCTAGTACAGGTTTTGTCATTTAATGGTAATATAATTATAACTAATATATTCTCGTTACATTTGCATCGATAGTAGTGACTACTTCTGTTTTTGTTTAGGCTAAATCAAGACCAAAGGTTTTAATATATATATTTATGATATATATATATATATATATATATATATATACATATATATAAGGAATTTGCTTAAATCTCCTAAGTCACTTGGGGGAATTTAGACAAATCATTATATTAACTCATCGAGTCTAGGTGAACCCCAACAGAATGCAGAAGCACTGGCCTACCCTTTCGTCCTATTTTGGGCCTCATCAATAGTGCGCATCCATTACCGAGACTCGAACCCGTACCGTTTCGATACAACGCAAACGCTGTACCAACAGGCCTCGAAGACGAGGTACGTTTTTCCTTTCCCCCAAACCGCTCAATTGCAGAGCATTAGCTGGGTCAAGCAATGATATACATGTCATAGAATTGGGTGGATTTGGACAAATCATGATAGTAACTCATCGAGTCTAGAAGAATCCTCAACACTGACGCCCGTTGGTACTGTTGATATGACGCTTGTGTTGTATCAAATCGGTACGGGATCGAATCTCAATAGTGGATACGCACTGCTGATGAGTCCCAAAATAGGACGAAACAGCCGTCCGCTGCATTGTGTGGAGAAATTATATGTAATTTTCTTTTATTTGTTTTTTTTTTCTAGTTTTGCAATTTTTTCACAGACCTTTTCTTTAAAAGGACTAAGTGTGTGGATAAAGTGCCCTTTGTCTTTATTGTCCCAAGAGCTTTCAGTAAATTCATTAGTCATATTCAAGGGGATATGTTCTGTTTATTCTGTATTGTCTAGAAGTAATATTAATTCTAAGCCGTGCTGGATGGAAAGAGTAGTATTTCTATGTTGAGCTGCCTTTAGAACACCACTAATTCCTTCACCTGATATTAAATGTTGAGTTTATCTGATTCATAAATAATGCTTTCATTTTCTTTAAACGTCTTTTACAATTAGATGTTTTTAGCATTACATTGTTATCTAGAAAAAGATTTTTTGCTAGAGTAAGGCTGTTGCGTTTGAGTGATTAAATGCCGACTGAAATGCAATCGCTTAAGTGGATTGCCAGTCTCTTAATTAAAGACCTTGTCGTCTGACCAATATATTCGCCTGATTCCTTTTTTATTACAAGTTTTCTATATGGCAACGAAATTGATAATCTACATTTGTGGTGAGATGTCTGGATTTTATAGGCTTGTTTTTTTTATTGATGGCTATGATAGTTTTTAATATTCTAAATTATAGAATTATTATTTTACAAATTTGCTAGGGGCGACGAGTTAAATGTATTGTTTTATGATGACAAATTAATCCTGATCATGATTCCATTAAAAGGTATTAATATTTTGTTGTGTGGCATTTTTAGTGTCCATGCCGTTTAATTACTGCAGGAATAATTTTATTTCGTTATCGATAATGTACTTTTAAAAATTATTGTTTGCTTCATATATTTGAGTTAGCTGAAAAATATTTTCCGGGAAGAGGAGGTTATGTGTGCTGTATTTAGGATTTTATTTTATCACAGCTATTATTTATATTCCTTATTATTATTGAGAAGTCACGAAATGTTTTTCATGAGGTGTTAAATACGTTAGTGCTGCGTTATGGATAATAATCGAGGAATTGTATTTTATTGTTAACGTTCATATATGAGGACAGTATATGTCTGGAAAACCGAAAGTTAAAAAGGCTACAAATGAAAGAAAAGAGGAAAAAGAAAAAAAAAAGAGTGAAAAGGTGAGAAAGAGGAACAAGGAGTGAAAGTAAAGTAAAAAACAAAAACGAAACAAAACAATAAAATCGAAAAGGACAATTAACAACGACATTCTACACGTATGCACATACGCGCAGACGGGGTTATGGTTGCATGCGCACGAACATATACACGCACTCACAAAAAATACTTATACCAATGAAAAGGGCATATAAAAAGGAAAATTCGAGAAGTATAAACACTCAATTGCTGATACCTATCTGATGAGTGGGTAGTTGCCGAGGGTTCCATCTACGAAACTCTGGAAACGGATGCTGAAGGTAACATCAATCAGCTAAGCCACAAACCCTTTACTTGTATTAATTGCATATATCGGTCGGGTTTCGGTCCCAGCTTGAAGCAAGGGGTGTCTAACCGAACTGATGTGCTGTGATATTGCGAAACAGGCCTGTATATGGATGACATTACTACGCTCTCGATAATTTCGGTTAAGCACAGTTGAGAGAGAGAGTAATTCCAATTAGCAGCCGTCTCCGCTAACTCAACGCTCTTCATTAAAATGAATAGAGCACTATGGCTGTCTGGAGTTTGCTTACATTCGTAAAAAATAATAGGCTATAATTTTCCATGCCCTCTGACTTGCGCTTGGACCTCAAGGGTAGAAAATTCGAATGATGACAAATCAGTCGGATTTCGACCCCAGCTTAAAGCAATCGGATGTCTAGGCCGCAATGATGAGCTGTGATACAGCGAAACAGGCCTGTATGAGGATAACATGATCTATCTATCTAACTACCTATCCATCTACATATATATATATATATATATATATATATATATTAGGTGCAATGGATAAAATGTCGTTTACATTACACAAAAAAGAAAATGGCTCTCGCGTTTCATTTTAACAAGTATATTTACAAAAAATACACAGAAATATCATGAAATAAGGAAGAGTAAATTTATTCACTAAAATCGTCTTTGGCTTCAACCACGGCATCGGAATCTGCTGCAAATTTTCTGGGCGGTCTCCTTGTTTACTTTAGTGAATGCTGCCATATTCCGTGTCTTCAGTTCATCTTTTTCATGATTTTATATATATATATATATATATATATATATATATATATATATATATATCAGGTCTCTGTATTCGTCCCTTCAAAAAGTGTGGCTGGTCCTGCACGAAGCCTTCACCATTATAATAAACTCTAATGTGCCGGTGTCGGGCTTTCGGTTTCCTGAAACTGATCTGCTTGACCCTCATACGTCAAATCTCGACGTATATATATATGTATGTGTGTGTGTGTGTGTATATATATATATATATATATATATATATATATATATATATATATATATATATGAAGAATTAATGGATTTTAATTTAAATCCGACATTTTTATGACATCAAACATTACTTTTAATGAATACACAAGGTGGGACGTACTTTAGAAGAGGAGATTTTCATTCTTAAGTTTTCTAGAATGAGTAGAGCTATAGACTGAATAGAAAATGTTTAAAATAAAATGAAAAAGATAGCGTCTATTTCAAACACGGGTGATAAAGTGCTCAATATCAGAGAGAGAGAGAGAGAGAGAGAGAGAGTGTGTAAAATAAAAATGAACATAGAAGCCTGACTATTGTGTCTAGCATGAAACAGACTGTCGCCTCTAAGTGTTGACTTCTATGTTCAAATTTATATATATATATATATATATATATATATATATATATATATATATATATATATAAACGAACATATCTATACTCAAAAATGATGGAAGCAAAAATAGAAAATGTCTAAATTAAATCGGCTACATTATATACAAAAAGAAATCAAATGTAAAATTTTAATTTAAAACTTATATATAGTTATCTCAAACAAACAGAAACAAAAATGCACGCACACATGTACGCACGCACACATAGAGAATATATATATATATATATATATATATATATATTTATTTAAATATATATATATATATATATATATATATATATTATATATATATATATATATATAATTATTTTTTTAAATAAATAAATAAATAATTATATTTAGGCTCCACTTTTGTGTCCAGCACTGTATATTTTTTAAAATAACAACAAAAATACTAAAGAATTTTGGATTATTTACCTAACGAGTTCTTTCCTATTTTCTATATATTTTCACACACACACACACACACACACACACACACACACACACACACACACACACACACACACACACATATATATATATATATATATACAAATGTAAAAGAACGAAGAATACAGGTCAAACATTCAAAACATTATATTAAAACAGGGCTCAATACAAGAGTAGAGCAATAAATAATTGCTATACACTTTTACATTAGAACATTTAAGTTACGTCATGTAATTTACAATGTACAATTTTATAGTAGTAACTTACATGTTCTAATGTAACAGTGTATTATATATATAAATATATATATATATATATATATATATATATATATATACAGAGAGATAGAGAGATAGATAGATAGATAATATATATTGCTTAGCATAGATCGAGGCCTTTGATATTAATATATTCAGTGATTATCAAATCCATTACAGGATAGATTTTCTTCGTAAGACGAAGTTTCTATCGTATTACTCTAGCCATTGATTATATATATATATATATATATATATATATATATATATATATATATATGTGTGTGTGTGTGTGTGTGTGTGTGTTTTGTGTGTGTGTGCGCGCATGTATGCGTGTGTGTGTAATCAAAGACGTATATACATATGCGTGTGCGTATTTGTATGTTCAAAATGGGTCAAATCCACAAGAGAAAAAAAGAAAGCTCTATTGAGAAAAAGACTTGCCTAAGCAATCAGAATGAGGTGGCCAACTTTGCTATATTTAGAAGTTTAATGTAATTATCCTGTTTCTGATTAAATATCGATCGGCCGTTAATGCGGCGTTTGAAAAAAGGAAAGTCGAACATAATAAATATGGCTCCAAGCGCAGACATTGGAAACAAATGCGGCGCCTATATCGTCAGTTCTTTGAGAAGCAACGTATCAACGTTTCACGTGAAATGATAGGTAAGTAGATGGTCTTTTGTGATGGTTCATCTGCTAAAGACAGTGTATCAATAGCCCATTTAAAGGGCGTGGAGAATATCTCAGCTCCCACGCTCTCAATGTGCCTGGCTGTGAATATTTAACATTTAGACACCACAAAGGCACGGTTTGAGGCTAGTGGCCATTGGCTACTGAATATGACGTCAACCAGAATATTGAAATCAAATATTAGAACAAAAATGGAGTCAAAAAGCCTGGATCTCCAAATGAAAAGTATACAACTAAATCTTGCATATATAACTTCACATGCACTTGTTGTATATAATATCCTGAACGAACCTAAAATATCAGATTTTAGAAGGAGCGGAAATACGTTTCAATACAATTCAGCAGAACATACGCAGAATGAAAGCGGGGACATGATTTGAAAATGGGTAGTGTCCAAATAGTAGTCTGCACCCGCCCACATCTGACCATCGTGTCGTCATCCTCTCTCCTTGTTTCTTTTCGATCCTCTGATGATCCAGCCTATCCCCGCAAAGTCGGAAGCAGGGGTCACAGGGGAGTTTGAGTGGGGGGATACGATTGGGTGAAATAACTGACACAACCATGATGGAAAATTTGTGGAATAGTTTTACATGTGAATATCAAAATAAGGAAAACATGACTGCAGAAACATGGCCCTAAAAACTGATTTTAATAATTAATGAGACTGATACCGAAAAGCCAAAGCAGCATCATTTAAATTACCTTAGCTATAGCATTATGAAGTTGTAAAAGCATCCACCAAAACGACGAGGCCGATGAAGTTCCTTTTAAAACAAGTTTTCTTATCTAGAGAAGACAATATACTCTCTTTTTCTCACTGGAAGATTATTAAAAATGAGTGTTCTTTTCTTAGTTTGCAGCACACTTCTAACCTGGTGTATTCTCGCCGATCAGAAATTGATAAAATGGGGAAGAGTGATTAAATTCAACTGAAAAGATAAGTAAATATTCTACAATCGAAACAAGTAATAATGCTCTTTAATAATTCAGACCATTCTAATTTAATTAAACTTCCATATTTACAAAAAAATAAACACAGTCTGTATTGTTGTCTATATGATACACACGGACTCTGGTTGGTTGGTTGGGTTTTATGACATATCAACCACTGTAGGTCATTTAATGCCTTATTTAGTTATATACCAGCAGCATGCCCCGGCTTTGCCCGTGCTTGATTCAAAAATCGTACGACTCATACAGCAATCGCTATCACTTGACTTAAAATATTTTTGCCCTTCCTTGCCTTTAAAGGAGTGCCCTTTGTCGTGCTGATGTTGCTACATGCCTTACTTCTTGCCTATCTCACACAGCGATTTTTTCTAAGCTCTATACTAAACATTATCTGTTACGAAAAAAGAACTAAAGAAAATGAACACAAAACGATCAGCTTTAAAAAAAAGACTCGTAACTGGAAAACCGAATGAAAAAAGAATGTTAACAACAAATACTTTTTCACACCCAACACAGTTCTGCGGATTCAGAATCAACGTTGAGTTTAAGCAAGCGAATGAGCCAATTGGAGTAATGTTCCATGCAGATTTAAATTTTTCCCACTTGTGACAAATCCAGCTATCGATGTTTTTGCATGCTAGAATGCTAGTTAACATTCGTGTCAGTCATCTGTTGGTTCTCACGCTGGCCAATAGAATCTTCCTGCCTATTTGTGGCAGCCAGCTATAGGCTCTCACTCTGGCCAGTACAAAATGGCCGCAAACTACATGAAAACTGCCGTAGAAGCATGAAAAAATCGATTATTTCCTCTATCATTGGGAGTTGGGAAATGCAACGTCGGTCTTGGCCTTTCCACTAACTTGAAGCATGTGCATGCAAATATTGGTGCATATTCGTCAAAAATTGCAGCCGTGCATTTGTTACACACACACACACAGACACATACTGACTCTTATATATATATATATATATATATATATATATATATATATATATATATATATATATATATATAGTACTAGTAAAATTATAGCTGGCAACATTATTTTTTCCAAAAAACGTAAAACTAGCAACATTATTTTTACCAAAAACGTATAGCTGGCAACATTATTTTTTAAAAAACGTGTAGCTAGCAACATTATTTTTTTTTAAACGTATAGCTGTCAACATTATTTTTTTTCAAAACATATACCTGTCAACATTATTTTCAAAAACGTATAGCTGGCAACATTACTTTTTCAATAATGTATAGCTGGCAATATTATTTTTGAACGTAGTTTATCGCCATAAACCGGACGCGGATATAGTTTATCGCCATACCCAAGACGTGGATATATGATTCGAAAAACTGGGAGTTCACTATTTACCCATAGCTGGGACCCTAACAGGTGTTACCACCCTGGGTCAGGGTGGACCTGGGAAGACCAGCAATTAAGAGGTGGTTCCACGCGTCCTCAAAACCTCCTGATCAGAGGCCTTGCTGTTGGATGTAGTTTATCGTCTTACCCAGGACGCAAGCACTCAGCAATCGATTTTTTGTGTCCAGACATACTTCATGATTTACTAATGCACACAGACCTCGGGTGCCCCCAAAATGTGCTCAGTTTTTAAATGACAATAAATACTGTGTTTATTGACTTGTAAACAAGATTAATGGTTAACATTAAATAGTAAATGAAATGAAATGCGTTTTTATAAATATTTAAACTGGCGATCATCATTTGTCGTACAGATTTCGTTGGGTACCGGAGGAGGGTTTTCAGCAACTGTTCTTATTTTGCGGACGAGTATATATTCGTTTTCTTGAATTTTGCTTATGAACAGTTCCATTTGCTTCAAACGAGCACCCTAATCAATACCGAAGTGGTTAACCACCTTACATCCCATGATCTGCTTTCAGACAAGCAATATGGATTCCGCTTTGCCCGATCTACAGCTGATGTGCTTACGGCCATCACTCAAACTGTCTACCAAGCTCTTCAAAATGACGGGGAAGCTCGTGCCGTGGCCCGAGACATCTCCAAAGAGTTTCATAGGGTTTGCCATGCCGGCCTTCTTCGCAAGCTCCAGCGATATGGCATTACGGGTCGATTGTTTGACCTAATACAATCATTCTTGTCAAACCGTGAATTGAAGGTCGTTCTCAACGGATTCTCCTCCAGTTCCTATCCCACGAACGCAGGTGTTCCTCAAGGCTCCATTCTAGGCCTCACTCTATTCCTTATCTACATAAATGACCTTCCTGACACCATAAATTCCCAAGTTGGCATCTACGCGGATAACACCACAATTTACTCCTGCCTCAAAAACAAATCTAGTGTCGCTAACAAAATTAACCTAACCGTGCGTCTCGAAAAGGACCTCCAATCGGTTGTGAACTGGGGCAGGAATTGGCTGGTCAACTTTAATGCTTCAAAAACAAAACTGCTCTCTATTAATCACCACAGAGATCCTTCCCTGCCCTCCATTAGAATGTCTGGCGCTCAACTTCTCGAGAGTACCTCTCTGCAGCTGCTCGGTCTCACGTTGACTGCTGACCTGAGATGGAACAAATACATTGAGTCAATTGCTTCGTCCACCGCAAGGAAAGTTGGCTCCCTGTGCTGCGCCAGGAAATTTTTCTCTACGCAATCGATCCTTCAGATCTATAAATCAACAATTCGCCCTTGCATTGAGTATTGCTGCCATATATTGTCTGTAGCCCCTTCTGTTTGCCTCGGGGTTCTTAATAAGCTCCAGAGGCGGATATGCAATATTATTGGCCCTGTTCTGGCATCTCGTTTACAGTCGCTCTCTCACAGACGCGCCATTACTTTCATGGTAATTGCTCCGAGTAGCTGCATTCGCTGGTTCCCTGACTTCAAGAATTCAAGCGCCCTACGAGGCTAGCATCCCGCTCTCACCCTTTCACTGTAGAAACTACTAAATGTAGCCGTTTCCTCTACTCCAATAGCTTCATGTCTCGTACCTCTCGCTTGTGGAACTCCCTTCCCTATTCCAGTTTCATTGAGAGCTATAATCTCCAACTATTCAAATGTAATGTCAATCGACATCTCCAGTTGCCTTGATCTATCCACTATCCTTCTCCTCATCCTTTCTTCTATCATTCCTATCTGATCTTGCTCCAAATCTTCTGTAAACCCTTGCGTTCTAGTGGATTCCCGCCTTGCTTGGGGTGAAACGCTTAAAAAAATGATGCATTTTGTTTGTGAGTCTCTGGGAAACTATCTTCTAAATTTGCTTTGCACTTCTGTAATGTTTTCATGCTTCCAGTATCTTCAAAACTTAGTCGCATTCTTGAAAACTATTAGGGTACATTCGATCTGAAAAAGAACATAGGAAGTTAAACAAGTGAATAATATTTTTTTTTTATATATATATATATATATATATATATATATATATATATATATATAATTATTTATTTAAAAATTATAGCATAAATATGTTATAAAATCACTACAAAAAAAGGGATTTTGTTTCAACACTTCCGGTGTCTTATCAAGTGACGATGTCAAATGTAAAATAAATGGTTTTTAAAGTTTCAAATTAATTAACGATCCTTCACAAGGGGAAAACGCTGTTACAAAAGCTAGAATGACCAATCAAAACACAAGTATAGGAGAATTCAACAAACTTGACAACGAAATAATTTTATAATAGCAATTAAGAGCTTTAAAGTTGGGGTTATACTAAAATAGAATTTATTCTAACCAATAAGTATTAAATTATATGATAAATTCCGTATACACCAATCATATATATATATATATATATATATATATATATATATATATATATATATATATATATATATATATATAACTATTCCTGCTCTACTTAGCGTATTGATCACTCTTCGTTTTAGTCTTTCTGCTACTACTGATGTTGTTGTTCCTTAGAGCGTTTCCTGGGCAAATTATATTCTTTGAATAAACCCAAACCCTGTTTAATCCTTGAATATGTGATTCAATTTAGAAAATGCATTTTAACCCGAATCTACGTTTTTCTTGTCGGCTCTTAAATGAAGACGTTAAAAGCACCTATCTGATATACTCAATGCTATCAAATGGTTGCTTAAACATTGCAGCGACAAGTAAATCGTTGTTGTTGTTTTTGATATTCTTTTTATGGTTATTGAACCGAAGGCTGAATTCCATTCTTGTTTCTCCAAGATAATTTCCTTTTTCGCATTTGTGGCAGAAAAGTAGATATATAAGATTTAAACTGTTATATGTCAGAGCCGGGGGTTTGCATATTGTTTAAGTGCCGTGGGGTGAACACGCATATACACGCGCATGCACACACACTCGCGCGCACACACGTGTATATATATATATATATATATATATATATATATATATATATATATATATATATATATATATATATATTAAGGCATAAAAAGCAAGAAATTTTATATTGTAGGTCATGATAGATTTAAAACCAAAAACACACGCCAGTCGACCGGTTTCGTCCCCTCTCATCAGAACTGTTATCGGGGAACTAAAATTATTATATATTGGCCAGTTCGCACTCATTATTCCATCTTAAGGTGTTGGAGACGCTTTACATCAGGTCCAGGCAACCTGCTCTTTGTAAACAAAGAGATTGTTTGCTTGGATTTGCTGTGCTGCGCTTCTAGCATCTTTGTTGGTATAATTTTTATAATAATTTTTTTCTCCCTGTCCACTCATTCATATCATCCATGACAGACTTTTTCTTTTCCTTTTCTTCATAATTTTAGTTCCCCGTTAACAGTTCTGATGAGAGGGGGCGAAACCGGCCGACTGGTGTATGTTTTTGGTTTTAAGTCTATCATGGCCTACAATATAAAATTTCTTGTTTTTTATGCCTTAATACGCTTCTGTACTGTTTCAAACATATATATATATATATATATATATATCGTAAGATCAGGAAATATCTGAGTTCTTCTGCAATGCTTTATCATATCTAAGGTTTATTGCTGCCATATCTGGGTTCGACCTAGTCGGTTCGCACTGTCCTATTCAAAATCGTTAGTGTCACCTTGTGGAGAATGACTTACACCCCAGGTTCTTTACAAAATGAACCTATATAAATATAAGAGAGACAGTTGTGCAAGACGGATTCGTGTAATCCAAACCTGAAATGTACGAGGTTCAGGGTAAATGAATGTCATGAGACGAGTTTTATTCGTTGTAGGGACTGAACTGCTTACCACCTGAACGCTACTCTACCCGATATCAGTGAGAGAGAAATAATTTTGAAGTTCTCCATATAAAGGCAGAGGTGCACATCTGTACCACATTCAAAGAGGATCAACATACACGAGACCGGGTATCTACAAACGAGATTTCGAACAAGTACAGTAATATTTTAAATATTATTTAGTGTTGCGTTGCGTTGCAGACACCGGTTCGTTGACAGGATACAGTTTCTTCCAGTCAAACGCTTGTGGCTTAAAAAGTACCCTTTGGCCAGTGAGAAACAAAACAATATCTAACAGTAAACCAGTTTTTATTCTTGGATTGTAACCTAAGGCTATAAGCGAACGAAGTTGAGATGAGGTGTAAGCGAGGGAGAGGTGCGCAGTCTAGTGGCTGTCTTCCTTGTCCGTTCTCCGAGGCACGCTTCGTTCTTTTGTGTGTGCCTTTTCGCGAGATGGCCAGCTTTATATTTAACAATTTTGTTTGTTTTGTCATCGTCGTCTAAAAAAGTAAGTTATCTTCATTCCGTAACTTTCTCTCTACCTGAGCCTCTTGCTCTGGACTTTGAAGTTGACCTCACTTACTGATAACCATCGGTCGAAAGTAAACGTTCAGTATTCATTTTTGTCAGATTTCCCACTGTTTTCAATGTAATAAGACCTCAGCTGATTCACATTGCTACCATAGATTCCTTTTTCTTTATTATCTCTGTTTTGCTTGGACATCATGCTCTAGCGGAATAAATATCCGTTACTTCGTTTGCAGGTTTTATTCAGATGAGTCCTTCTCCTAAACTGGCGAACAACCAAGACTAGATAGCTCAGCCTAAGCATTTATATAGTCAATAGCAGGAGGTAAGGAAATGTTCAATTCATGCCTTTTCCAAGTTGTCAAAGGGAACGCATCAGATTAGGTCGAAAGTGAATCTATTGTCACCAATCCTTCTGGTCGTGCGTATGACCATTACGTTTTCTGCACTGTATTCGATATAAATAAAATGATTTTCTTTTAATGCTTAACTTAGTCGACCAAATTGTTATAATATCGTGACACATAGTGATCACATTCACATGATGAGCTCCTTCAATATTCTGACCAGCTCACTAACGATTGCGCTCCATAACGCACCTGCAATGATTCAATTACTCCTTTTGTTTTTGGCACGAATTCATTAATTCGGAGTGTTTTATTGCTTCTGTTAAATCCGGCATCATTTTCAGGCACGAATCTTCGTGTCTTTCGGAAAATTTTATTAATGTCATTCACATTTACTATTATAACTTCTTTCTTTCTTTCTTTCTTTCTTTCTTTTTGCATTTACTGCCTTTTTTCTTGAATTCTCATTCTTTGTTTAATTTTTTATTATGTTCAAACCATTTTTTATTCCATTATATCCTGCTTTTTACAAATTTTTGTATTTATAACTTTTTAATCTACAGATTTTTTGCAATGTTTCTTTCTTTCTTTTATTCTTTCTTTTCTTTCAATTTTTATCTCAGGTTCTTTATTGCTACTTTTCATTCTCCCTTTTTCTTTCGAATTTTTAAATCTTTCTTTCTTTTTCATTTTTTGAACTCTTTCATTTTATTTATTTTTATTTTTTCATTCTTTCTTTCAAGCTTTTCACTTTCCATTACTTTTCTCTTTTTCCTTTCTTTTTCTTTCGACATTTTCAGTTTCTTTCTTTCGTTATTTCTTTCTTTCGTTATTTCTTTCTTTCTTTTTCTTTCTTTTTCTTTCTTTCTTTCTTTCTTTCTTTTACGTTTAACCTTTTCACATTCCTTTTTCATTTTTCTTTTAACCTAGTCATTTACTTTCATTTTTTTCACATTTTCTTTTCCTTTTTCTTTCTTTTTTCAATTTTTTCTTTCATTTTCTTTAAACCTTTCATTTTTTTTCTTTCTTTTCCTTTCAAACATTTTTCATTTAAGTTTCCTTTTCTTTCTTTTTTAGACCATTATTCCAACTTTTTAAAAATTTTCGTTCGATATTCACATCCATCCTCCTTTATCGGTTTGCCCCAAATTTCATTCTTTTTCCTTTCACTTTTTAACGTCAATATTTCATTCGTATATTGCTGTTTTCTTCCAATGTCCTGATTTATGTTTTACTTTCTTTCCTATTGTTTCCTTCCTCTATCTTTCCTTCTTTTTCCTACTTTTTCTCATTCTTTTTACTATTTTTCCATTTCTTTCTCATCTACGTCTCGTTTTTAGTTCTTTCTCAGTTTCCCTTTCTTTTTCTCTTCCTCCATTTTATTCTTGCTTCACTTTTAGTAGTTACTTTTTCATCTCCGTGTTTTCATTCTTTTTTTCATATTTTCTCTCTCTTTTTCTTTCCTTTTTGATATTCTTACTATATTCTTTACTTCCCTCACTTTTGGTTCATTAATTTCTTCTTTGCTCTTTTAACTTTTTTCTTCTTTTTTTCCTTTTTTTTATTTTAGTTTCTTCTTTATTTCTATTTTTCTTACTTTCTTGTTTTTTTTCTTGTTTCTTTTTCTTTCTTTCTCATCTCATTTTTCTCTCTCTCTCTCATATTCTTTATTCCTCTTTTTCTTTCTTATTTTTTCTTGTTTCTTTTTCTTTCTTTCTCATCTCATTTTCTCTCTCTCTCTCTCATATTCTTTATTCCTCTTTTTCTTTCTTATTTTTTCTTGTTTCTTTTTCTTTCTTTCTCATCTCATTTTCTCTCTCTCATATTCTTTATTTCTCTTTTTCTTTTCTTTTTTTTCTTGCTTTTTTTCTTTCTTTCTCATCTCATTTTCTCTCTCTCTCTCATATTCTTTATTCCTTTTTCTTTCTTTTTTTTCTTGTTTCTTTTCTTTTTTTTCTTTCTCATTTTCTCTCTCTCTCTCTCATATTCTTTATTCCTCTTTTTCTTTCTTATTTTTTCTTGTTTCTTTTTCTTTCTTTCTCATCTCATTTTCTCTCTCTCTCTCTCATATTCTTTATTCCTCTTTTTCTTTCTTATTTTTTCTTGTTTCTTTTTCTTTCTTTCTCATCTCATTTTCTCTCTCTCTCTCTCATATTCTTTATTCCTCTTTTTCTTTCTTATTTTTTCTTGTTTCTTTTTCTTTCTTTCTCATCTCATTTTCTCTCTCTCTCTCTCATATTCTTTAACCTCTTTTTCTTTCTTATTTTTCTTGTTTCGTTTTTCTTTCTTTTCTCATCTCATTTTTCTCTCTCTCTCCTATATTTTTATTCCTCTTTTTCTTTCTTATTTTTCTTGTTTCTTTTTCTTTCTTTCTCATCTCATTTTCTCTCTCTCTCTCTCATATATTCTTTATTCCTCTTTTTTCTTTCTTATTTTTCTTGTTTCTTTTCTTTCTTTCTCATCTCTTTTTCTCTCTCTCTCTCTCTCATATTCTTTCTTTTTTTTCTCATTTACATTCTTTTTCTTTTTTCTTTGTCTTTATTTTTCTTTCTAATCCCAGTTTATTTATTGTTTTCATTCTTACTCTCTCATTTTTACTTTTTTTTTCCTTCGCGCCATTACTGCTATTTTCTGTTCTTCTTCTCTGTCCTAAATAGAAAAGCTATGCACATACTACCAAATACACACACATATACACACCCGCATTCACATTTCTCTATATATCTCGCATCTCCTGCAGCATTTGCCATTGTCTTCACCTGCTCCCAATGTTTACTTAATAAAAACGTTTTCCCTTCCAACTTCTAATCTATTTTCTAAACACGTTCTCGTCTTCGTTCTGCCATCCCTTCACACACACACGAACCTTTCGATTATATTCCCCACGTACATTTCGTTAAAGTTTTTCGCATTTTAAATAACTTTATACATCAAGATTTCAATTTTATTGTATTTTAAATTTTATTCAATTCCATTCAAAATTCCGCACCATTTTTTTTCTATTTGCAATGGATTTCTGTTATTGCCATAATTTTCAGTTTTTCTTTCGCTTGTCGAAATTTCTCCAATTCCAATGAAAAATAATAGTTTTCTTTTTCTGCACATATTGGGGGTGATTTAAAGCTCGGAAATTCTCTTTACGCTTCTCATATTTTGCGTCACAAATGGCAACCCAATGATATTCGATTACATCTACTATTTCCCACAGTTGCAATCTCTCATTCAACATAAACATATTTAATTTTAACTCAAGACATATAAAGACTGCTCAATAGTTTGATTGAATACCGCTTGAATACTTGAGGATACTTTCCTAAACGTAGCTTCGATGTAGCACAAGTCCGAAAGTATGGGGCACCTAGCGAGGATCGAACTCACTACTCACTCGTAAATGTTTTAACCAGACAAGATTGCTAAGCATTACATCGGCTCGAGGTCCCTTATTTTCCAAGCGTGTCTTTAATGTGGCCCAAGGCCGAAAGTGTGAGGCACCTAGTGAGGATCGAACTCACTACTTAATCGTAATTGTATTAGCGAGACAAGCTTGCTAACCATTACACCGCTTCGAGGTGCCTTATTTTCCAAGCGTAGCTTAGATTTGACACAAGGCCGAAAGTAGGGAGCCTCCATTGAGGATCGTAATTGTTCTAGCGGGACAAGCTTGCTAACCATTACACCGTCTCAAGGTCCCCTATTTTCCAAGTGTAGCTTAGATGTGGCACAAGGCCAAAAGTATGGGGCACCTAGTGAGGATCGAACTCACTACTCACTCGTAATTTTTTAATTTTTTAATTGTTTAATAGCTAAGCATTACACCGCCTCGAGGTTCCTTATTTTCCAAGAATAGCTTTGATGTGGGCCAAGACCGAATGTATGGGGCACCTAGTGTGGATCGAACTCACTACTTGTCTCTACTATTTAACTCAAAGATAGAGAAGATAGATTCAAACCATTTATTGTCCAATGAAAGAAACAGACAAAAGACAGAAAATTAATGATAGATAAGTATTTACTTCTATGAAATATCGCCTAAAACCGAATAAAAATTGGCTTGTGTGACGTCGTCCCCCGGTCGCAGCGCCAACTGTGACGTTCTATCCTGATCTACCACGGCGCCAGTTGTGACGTGGCCGTTCCAGGGTCCTATCCCGGTCACGACACCAGTTGTGACGTCCCTAAACAGCACCAATTGTGACGTCTTCGCCGCGGCGCCAGCTGTTCGCTCCTCGCTGCTCCGTCCGGGTGTCGCTGCTCCAAACGTGACGTCCGCCTGTTGCGTCAGTCGTGTTGTCTCGTCCTGTGACGACCAACTGGCTTGGTATCGGTCGTGGCACCCAAATGTGACGTTCTAACCTTTTGGTGATTCGGGTGGGAATCTGGTTAGATTTGATATCAGCCTCGTCGTTCCCAACCCGCTTCCAACGCCTGGTTACCAAGGTAACTGCACTGATCTCCAGTCTGCCTACCCACGTTGTGAATTGATCTTAGACAGACGAGATGAAACAGGGGTTGGGGCCGTAATGCAAATTGAGTTCAACGGGGTGATAACACACAAATATGCATAAAAGAAAATAAAATGAAAACTCAAAAAGTTCAAAGTATCAAAGAAAAGGTAACAAACTTTTTATGTCTAGTTGTTCGATACATAGGACTGCATCTATCTACCGACCCGTTCTGTGGATTGTGACACGTCGTTTTCGCTAGGCAAGTTTTAACGCTTCAAGTTGTTTGCTCTCTAAGAAATTTGTGTTTCAGTGTGTCTCTGGACGAAAGTCGAAAAACTTATTTCGGTGGTCTGGTCCTAAGTCGCTCTTCAAAATAATTGTTCTTGGTTGAAGAGGAGTCCAAAATTTTGCGTAAATCTTGGTCAGCTATCTTGAGGCGGCTTCAACTCTGGAAACTGGAGCTCGAACTTTGGATACTCATCTCTGCCGCCAGGGCCGAACGAACTACTGGGCACTCATCTCTGCCGTCAGGGCCTGAACTACTGGGCACTCATCTCTGCCGTGAGGGCTCAAACTACTGGACACTCATCCCTGCCGTCGGGGCGCGAACGGATTTCTGCCTGTTGGGGCCTGGTTTTTATTGACGCCGACAAAAACCGGGTTGGGTCTGTTGGCGTCGGGGAGTTCCTCGATAATTCTAAATACGTATCCACCTCTTTTATTTCTGGTTAGGGATTTTCCACTCTTTTCCATTTTTGGTACCTTTTTTTTTCCCTCCCACTTTCTCACCATGCTTCTGAGGGGCGTGAACTGCCCTCCCCACTTCTTCGTAGCGGCTTTTCATACTTATACTCTGGATAGGGGCGTCGACAGCCTTCTTTGTGCGTCACGTGATCACTCTCAGCCAATGAGGGTTTGGTCGGGTATCTTTCCTCCTCCTTCGTGCGTCATGTGATCAACACTTGACCAATGACGTCTTAGTCGGGCGTGAAGAACCCGCGGTTTTGTTTCGGGAAAAAAATACCTTGCTTAACTAAAAAATTAATTATCCCTTCTCTTTCCTTTTTTTTTCTTCCTTTCAAATCGCCGTTATCATGAACGGATAATATGACAACTCTTTGTTCAACACGTGGCGTTTGTAAAGCCGTTTATCGCCAATTCATCAGATGACATGGCCTCAGAAAAGAATTTTCTCCAAGTTTTCAGTCGGTCTGACGTCTCCAAGGAAGAAATAAAAACATTTCTTATTCCATTCATTTTCCTTCGGTTCATGTGTCTGATAAAAAAATTTTATTATCGCAGGGCAAAAGTTTGTTTTAGCTAATGAGACTGCTTGTGTGGGATTTTTAATTTTCCATATCTAGCTAAGGCTCCGTACCTACACCTGTGTTTTGTCAATTATCAAAATCTAACGTTTTCAAGTGGACTTTCTTTGGCGAACATTTCTTGATAACACAATTCCATTCGCGCAGGCCAAGTAGGAAAATCGGTCAATGATTGCTCGCAGGTGGCCTTTAATTTTCATATCTGTCCAAAAGTCTTTTTTTTAGTCGCCTGTTTCTTGTCGTCACTTATCGAAATAACATTTTCGCTTGAATTTTTCCCTTGGCCGGTGGCCTGTGTTTTGATAATAAGATGCCTTCTTGTACCAATAGTTTAGATAACACTTCCCTACCCTCTCAATCTCATTGTCATTGTAATGACACTCTTTTCGCCACTTGCCACTTATCCAAAATAACCCCTTTTTTTATTGTCTCTTAAGCCGTGTGTGTGTGTTCGCTTATCACCGATGATCCGTCTCGCATTACTTTTTCCCTTCCTTTCTTCTTTTCCTTCCTTTTCCCTTTTTGCCTTTCTTTCTCTGCCTGGATGCATGGTGCCACACTTGAATAAAGGGATCGGTTTAACATTTCGTAAACATTAACGAAAACAGACACCTGAAAAGCATGTGTCTATAACAACCTAATTGGTTTTGTTGGTACGGATAGGACATTATCACCAATATACATGATTTCAGAATTTCTATCTATAAAAGGCAGGATGTGTGTGTGTGTGTGTGTGTGTGTGTGTGTGTGTGTGTGTGTGGAACGAATGCACGACCGCAATTTTCGACGGATTTGCACCAAAATTTACATGCACATGCTCCAAGTTAGCGGGAAGGCCAAGACCAGCTTTGCATTCCCCAACTCCCATCGGTAGTGAAAAGAATCGATTTTTTCATGCTTCTACGGCAGTTTTCATGTAGTTTGCGGCCATTTTGTACTGGCCAGAGTGAGAGCCTATAGCTGGCTGCCACGAATAGGCAGGAAGATTCTATTGGCCAGTGTGAGAGCCAACAGCTGACTGACACGAATGTTAACTAGCATGCTAGCATGCAAAAAAAATCGTTAGCTGTATTCGAAAAAATAAATGTGGGAAAAATTTAAATCTGCATGGCACTTTACTCCAATTGGCTCATTGGCTTGTTTAAACTCAACGCTGATTCTGATTCTGCATATCTGGGTTGGGTGTGAAAAAGTATTTGTTGTTAATCTTCTTTTTTCATTCGGTTTTTCCAGTTACGAGTCCTTTTTTAAAAGCTGATCGTTTTGTGTTCATTTTGTTTAGTTCTTTTTTCGTAACAGATTTAATGTTTAGTATAGAGCTTAGAAAAAAATTGTAGTGTGAGATAGGCAAGAAGTAAGGCATGTAGCAACATCAGCACGGCAAAGAAGGGCAAAATATTTTAAGTAAAGTGATAGCGATTGCTGTATGAGTCGTACGATTTTTGAATCAAGCACGGCCAACGCAGGGCCATGCTGCTAGTTAATGATAAAATTCAGTTCTTTGAATAATGAAGTTAAGATGATTATAAAAACTATTACGTCTAAATAATATAAACCATATCATAATATAAAGAAAGGAGCTTACGGTCAAATCACGCTGAAAACACCGGTTCTCGTTCGATCACCGAAGTTAAGCATCGTAGAGCCAGGTCAGTACTTAGATGGGGGACCGCTTGGGAACACCTGGTACTGTAAGCCCCCAAAGTCCAACCCTTACCTCACAGTCGGTGGGGGGTGTAAACGGTAGTGTCAGAGCTATGCCGCCCGGAACTTCGTTCCTGGTA